GTGAAATATATTTATGTTTGTGGTTGTAATGTGACAAAATATGGAAAAGTTCAAGGGGTATGAATACTTTTGCAAACCACTGTAGTTCACTTCAGCTGGCTGTATCTCATTACGGTTCTGTGCGACTTAATCCTCAGTTTGATGTGACGGGTCATATACTATATGAATATAATATTTGAAGTAATTTCATGACTTTAATGCTTTTCCTAGACCTACATCACATAAGTCAATGTTTATAGTTAAAATACAAAAAAAAAAAAAGAAAAATTATGTGGGATAGAACTATATTCAACCATGGGGCTTGTGAGCCAGACGGTCAAGACTTAGCTCCTGGGGCTCGATCAGGCCTGAATCAAAGATAAGATAACACCTCACATTGGCCCACTGCCTACATGGAGGATGGTCTAAATTGGGTGTCATGCAAGCCAGTTGGCAGGCTTGGAATAGTCCCTGGCCACATCAGTTTCTGGTGGCATAAATGAGCATGGAACATAGAGGGACATGGAATGGCACTTCATATGCAGGTAAAGAGCTGGAGCTGGTGTGCAAGTCTGAGTGATACCAAAAAGATATAGCTGGGCTCACCTCTAAGAACAGTTTTAAGGGATCCCTGACTAGTTGTAAGATTAGACTTTATTTGATAAGCATATATTCGAAATGTATAATAAAGACTGTAAAAATACTGTAGGCCGTTTAATTTTGTACATTTTTAAAAATATCTTTTGACACRGATGGAGCCATTTTTTTACACGCAAAGCATTCTGGGTAAATGATGACATGGATAGGTCCTCGGTGTGAGCGAGCTATATCCACCCTGAAGGTTAATCTTGGACAATATCTGACGATCGACTCTTTTAAATGAAACCAGACAGCGTTGACAGAGAGGAGAAGGTAGAAATGACTCAGGCTGTAACTGAAAATGTGGATGGAGGACAACAGAGCTGCTTCATGGAAGAAGAACGTTGGTTACGTATTGTAACCCCAGATTCTATGAGTGTAAGCGCAGCCCTCTAAGGCTATCGCAGATGGGT